TTGGCGTTTTACAGGATTCCAATATTGCTATGTATAATAAACTGTAAACCAATTTAACTTCAGCTTGTGTATGTTGTCTGAAGGAACTAAGTGAAAAAATGTCCACTCGATCGTACGGACGGTAGCATCAGTCGGACAACTAGTATTGTGTCTCCTTCTGCAAACACGACAGGCTCAGAATCTTATAGTAGTGTATTATAATATAGCTTATTAAGAGGGTGCGGTGGCGGAGCGGTTAGTGCGCTCGTCTCCGAAGCGGAAAGTCAGGGTTCGAGCCTCGGTCCGGACACGGATTTTTTTCGCCCCCTCCTGCCCACCCAGCAGTAAAGGGTACCTGACTTCGAGTTGGGGAAGTAAAGGCGGCGTGGAAAGGAACTGGCCACACTACCACAATATGCCGAAGGCCCAGGAAGTTGTCTCACTGACAAGGCAATCCCCAATGTCCCGATCGGATGCGGGAACAACTTTTTGTAGCTTATTATATTATTATAGTCTGTGAGTCTATTTATTATAATCTTTTATAGTCTAGTATAACATATTATAGTCTATTTTATCTACCAGGACTTGCCAACCGTCTTTCCCTTCCCTACTGTTTATCAAAGTTTCTTTAATTTTTTTCATATTCATTGATCACCGTATTCACGAGTGGTTCCGGAAGTCAATGAAACTGTCAACCTCTCGATCATGTCACCCATCTGAGCTGTTGTGTCACGTGCAAGATATGTCATGATTGGTTGTTGTTATATTCCATTTCATAATATACATCGAAAAACTAAATATTTATATATATTATAAAAGACAACAAATAAATGAAACTGTTTTCTCAAAAGACGAATCGAACACTTTTTTTTATTGGAGTCATGTTCTAGGCAGCTTTGTGAACTTTGATGTCCTTCCCAAAGTTACCTACATGGCTAGTGAAACAAATGTATTTCTAACGGCATAAAATGAACAGCTGAGTCAATACCCAGTGAGTCTATCTTCTAGCCGCACATTCACTCACACTGGCAACACAAACACTCACACAAAGACACACACCACACTCCCCAAACCTCCTTCGTTTCTCCATAAAGCATGTTGCCTGTAAAGAGTACATTGATTACACAAATGATGTGACTTCTTTTTGAATGCAGCATGACGAAAAGTCCTTACGCAAACGCAACCCTTTTGTTGAGGATACGTATGGCTCCGCGAAGCAGTATTACTGAATGATATGACGTGAAGGCGCAGAGTAACTTGCATGGTGGGATTTTCCCAGATTTTCAAGAGCAATATTATTATATTGAAATGTAAGAAAACTATTAAAATAATCAACAAAATTAAGATCATTATTATAATATTTACCCCCCTGCCGTGTTTTTTCGTACAGACAACCAAGCCTTTAGTTACTTTAGCCTGTTCATTTACTAAGAATCACTTCCCTTAATTATAAATCGGCTTTACTTGTGAAACATTTAACCAAAAGGTACGTTTTACTCGAACCACTGGTCGCTTGGAGTTTCGACGCGTCAAAGCAAAACATATATATAAAATCTGTGCAATGTCATCAGACAGGCATGCAGGTTCTGCAAACTGCCACAAACACCTGCATGAAATTGCCACATGATATTTTCCGGAGCGTGCATGAAATGTCCGAGTGGGAAGGCCACTAACCACCGCTTTCTTGCATGTCCTGGTGGAAAATGGCGCAAAAAGGTAAGTAAATCGATGTTACTATACACAGAGACAGTCAAAAAAGGACTGTGAAAGGAAACGTTGTTTGAGTATTTTGATTCAATAACTCTCTGTACCCAAGTAAGTCGACAATAGTAGATAATAGGAGAGAAATTTAACTAATTATTATTTCAATATTGTCTGTTTTAATGGCTGATTGTATAATTACTTACTAGATCTAATGGAAATAAAAATTGTCGCAAAATTTGAGTCAGAAGCACGCAGCTGAGCTATGATGTTCACTTTTGTACAAATTATAGTATTATTATACGTAGACTCCAGTCTCTGTTTAACAGTATCGCAACTACATTTCTCCTTGTCTTTCACACCGTGTGTGTGTGTCTGTGTTCCTGTTCTAACCCCCACGCCCATGACATCCCCACAGACAAACCCTCCCCTCCCCAAGGACCCATCGAGTTCTCCGACCTGAAGGCCGACAGCGTGACCTTGACCTGGAAACCGCCCAAATCGGACGGCGGCTCGCCGGTCAAGAACTACATCGTGGAGCGCAAGGACGTGCGTAAGACCACCTGGACCAAAGTGAGCACTGTGGACGCCCACTCGCTCACGGTGACCGCACAGAAACTGCTGGAGGACACGCCCTACATCTTCCGGGTCATCGCGGTCAACGAGGAGGGACAGAGTCAGCCGCTAGAGGCAGACAAGGAAGTGATGCCTAAGGCGCCTGCTGGTGAGTGGATGAGGAAGAGAGAGAGAGGGGGGGGAGAGAGA